TTCTTGTCGTTTTCGTGTCATACCCGATAGCTTAACGGGTCGTGTCGTGTAATACCTGTTAAAGTAAACGGGTAATATGACCCGACCCGAAATCAACCCGTTAATATTATCAGGTAATATGACCCGACGCGTTACCCGTTAAGAAAATTATATTTTAAATCAATAAAAATGAAAAGAAAAACATAATTTGACCCAAAAAAATGTAAAACATAATACTAAGTTAGTATATAATACTAAAATTTGGAGTTGACCCCTTAATGAAAGTTGTAAAGCTTGTCATTACGTGTGATTACATTTTTCACACTTATTATTATTAATTTTTCACTCAAATAAATAACATTGTTCATGAGATTTTTAAAAATCTACACTTATTTATACTTTCATCAAGTATAACATAAGATTTTATGGTATCCACTAGTGTAAATATTTTAAATTGAAGATCGAATTCATTTATTGTATTCATATCGGATCAATGAGTGTAGCTGTAAAAAAATCATCAAAATCGGAGTTAAAATAACCGTTACATCGTAATTTTTCATTTATAACCGTCGAAAAGTTTTGTCTCATTTCTTGATCTATGAATGTTTTTTTTTTTTTTTTTTTTTTTTGCAATTTTTGGCGTATGCGATCTCGAAGCATATATAAACAAGTTTGACGGTTGGATCGTTGAAATTAGTTTCGTAGGATGTGTATCCCATCAAAAAGATAGATTCACTAACACTTAAGAGTTTATTTATACTTTCATCAAGTATAACATAAGATTTTTGTGGTATCTACTAGTGTAAATATTTTAAATTAAAGATCGAATTCATTCATTGTATTCATTTAGGGTCAAGGAGTGTAGCTGTAAAAAATCATCAAAATCGAAGTTACAATAACCGTTAAATCGTGATTTTTCGTTTATAACCATCGAAAAGTTTTGTCTCATTACTTGATCTCTAAATGTTTCATTTTTGCAATTTTTGGCGTATGCGATCTCGAAGCATATATAAACAAGTTTGACGGTTGGATCGTTGAAATTAGTTTCGTAGGATGCGTATCACATCAAAACGATAGATTCACTAACACTTAAGAGTTTATTTATACTTTCATCAAGTATAACATAAGATTTTGTGGTATCCACTAGTGTCAATATTTTAAATTGAAGATCGAATTCATTCATTATATTTGTTTAGGGTCAAGGAGTGTGTAGCTGTAAAAAATCATCAAAATCGGAGTTAAAATAACAGTTAAATCGTGATTTTTCATGTATAACTATCGAAAAGTTTTGTCTTATTACTTGATCTCTGAATGTTTTTTTTTTGCAATTTTTGGTGTATGCGATCTTGAAACATATATAAACAAGTTTGATGGTTGGATCGTTGAAATTAGTTTCGTAGGATGCGTATCCCATCAGAACGATAGATTCACTAACACTTAAAAGTTTATTTATACTTTCATCAAGTATAACATAAGATTTTGTGGTATCCACTAGTGTAAATATTTTATATTGAAGATCGAATTCATTCATTGTATTTATTTAGTGTCAAGGAGTGTAGCTGTAAAAAATCATCAAAATCGGAGTTATAATAACCGTTAAATCGTGATTTTTCGTTTATAACCGTCGAAAAGTTTTGTCTCATTACTTCATCTCTGAATGTTTGTTTTTTGCAATTTTTGGCGTATACGATCTCGAAGCATATATAAACAAGTTTGACGGTTGGATCATTGAAATTAGTTTCGTAGGATGGTATCACATCAAAACGATAAATTCACTAACACTTAAGAGTTTATTTATACTTCCATCAAGTATAACATAAGATTTTGTGGTATCCACTAGTGTAAATATTTTAAATTGAAGATCGAATTCATTCATTGTATTTATTTAGTGTCAAGGAGTGTAGCTGTAAAAAATCATCAAAATCGGAGTTATAATAACCGTTAAATCATGATTTTTCGTTTATAACCGTCGAAAAGTTTTGTCTCATTACTTGATCTCTGAATGTTTGTTTTTTGCAATTTTTGGTGTATACGATCTCGAAGCATATATAAACAAGTTTGACGCTTGGATCGTTGAAATTAGTTTCGTAGGATGCATATCACATCAAAACGATAAATTCACTAACACTTAAGAGTTTATTTATACTTCTATCAAGTATAACATAAGATTTTGTGGTATCCACTAGTGTAAATATTTTAAATTGAAGATCGAATTCATTCATTGTATTTGTTTAGGTTCAAGGAGTGTAGCTGTAAAAAATCATCAAAATCGGAGTTAAAATAACCGTTAAATCATGATTTTTTTTGTTTATAACCGTCGAAAAGTTTTGTCTTATTACTTGATCTCTGAATGTTTGTTTTTTGCAATTTTTGGCATATGTGATCTTGAAGCATATATAAATAAGTTTGACGTTGGATCGTTGAAATTAGTTTCTAAGATGCGTATCCCATCAAAACAATAGATTCACTAACACTTAAGAGTTTATTTATACTTTAATCAAGTATAACATAAGATTTTGTGGTATCCACTAGTGTAAATATTTTAAATTGAAGATCGAATTCATTCATTGTATTTATATAAGGTCAAGGAGTGTAGCTGTAAAAAATCATCAAAATCAAAGTTAAAATAACCGTTAAATCGTGATTTTTCGTTTATAACCGTCGAAAAGTTTTGTCTCGTTACTTGATCTCTGAATGTTTGTTTTTTGCAATTTTTGGTGTATGCGATCTCGAAGCATGTATAAACAAATTTGACGGTTGGATCATTGAAATTAGTTTTATAAGATGCGTATCCCATCAAAACAATACATTAACTAACACTTAAGAGTTTATTTATACTTTCATTAAGTATAACATAAGATTTGTGGTATCCACTAGTGTAAATATTTTAAATTGAAGATCGAATTCATTCATTGTATTTATATAAGGTCAAGGAGTGTAGCTGTAAAAAATCATCAAAATCAAAGTTAAAATAACCGTTAAATCGTGATTTTTCATTTATAACCGTCGAAAAGTTTTGTCTCATTACTTCATCTCTGAATGTTTGTTTTTTGCAATTTTTGGAGTATGCGATCTCGAAGCATGTATAAACAAGTTTGACGGTTGGATTGTTGAAATTAGTTTTGTAGGATACGTATCCCGTCAAAACGATAAATTCACTAACACTTAAAAGTTTATTCATACTTTCGTCATTTTGATGGGATACGCATTGATGTTATACTTAATGAAAGTATAAATAAACTTTAAGCGTTAGTGAATCTTATCGTTTTGATGACTTGGAATAAATATATTAATTATTTATATATTTTAAGTGTTAATTAGACTATGTTTCAATTAGTATGTGATGATATTTAATAATAAAAATACATTTATGTTTTTTATTACGTATTTTATTTTTATTCAAGTTAAAATGTTATAAGAGATAAAAAAAAAAAGAAAAAAAAAGGGCTGGTTATTTTTTTTCTTTGGGTTAAACATTAGGTGGGAAATGGATGGATATAGGTTGCAAAATTTCCCAAACATTAGGTGGGAAATAGATGAAACTTTTGAAATATTAGGCTGGAATTTAATTATTATAATTTTTTTTTTATGTTTTTGGTATTTTTAAATTACTTTTATTTTTAATGTGTTTTATGATTTTAATCTCAATCTTTACCTATTATAATATACTATAAAAATAAATAAATAAATAAAACTTAAAATTTAAAATTTATATAGAATAATAATAGAATAATAATTAATAAACAATATATACATATTCATTATATCTATTGCATTTTATAGTAAGTATTTTTAGTAGTTTAAAAAATAAAATCACAAAATAGCATTTTTCTTATCGTGTTGAAACAGGTTACACGCGTGTCACTATCGTGTAAACCTGTTAAGGACCCGTTATTAACGGGTTATTATCGTGTGACCCGATAATGACCCGATTAGTTATCGTGTTGACCCGAAACCCGTTATTTTCGTGTCGTTTACGTGTCGTGTTAACGGGTCGTGTAATAAATTGCCAGGTCTATTGAATATGATGTTTATGTGTTGCGGCTTTTGATTTCTATGACCAGGTTGTCGCAATTAAACAACTTAATCATGACGCTCTTCAAGGGTTCCAAGAATTCATTGTGGAGGTTCTCATGGAAGACTAAGAAGCAAACCACAGTATCTCGTTCTAGCGCCGAAGCCGAGTACCGGTCTATGGCTACTACATGCTGTGAGATAACATGGCTGCGGAATATTCTCAACGATTTGCAAGTGAATCATCATCCACCGGTCTCCTTGTTTTGTGATAATCAAGCAGCTATACATATTGCCTCAAATCCCGTTTTTCTCATGAACGAACGAAGCACATAGAGATTGATTGTCACCTAGTGCGAGAGAAGATTCAAAAGGGAATGATACGCACGTCATACATACGAACAGGTGATCAGCTAGCCGACATATTCACCAAACCATTAAGCTCGACGCAATTTGAAACCTTACTCAACAAGTTGGGTGTCATTAACATACACTCCAACTTGAGGGGGAGTGTTAAGAAAGGAATCTTAGATTGATTTGTCAAATATTATGGATTGATATTTAATTACCTATTAAGTTATCAGTTAGCCTTATTTGTAGGGAATAGAATAGGAAACAAGTCATGTAAGACTTTGTGTAAAGCTGTAAATCTCATTGATGTCAATATACAGAAATTCATTCCTATACTTTATGCTTCTTATGATCTTGATACTTAAACAGTACATTCTCATCCATTCTACAACCTCTAATTAATTTATTTTCCTATTGTATTATCCCTTGTGTTTAATGATAGCTTGATACTTTATATTTATCACATTGGCAGGAATAGTATAGAAAGCTGAATTTTTTATTATCATTTCTGTCGCTATAATTATATTTTTGGTGTATTGGGTTTCACTTAAACTTCAACTTCAGTTATAGCTGTTCTACATTGTATTTGACCTAAACAAAACTTATAATCTTTCTTTAGAAGGCTCTTTTCTTTACTATTGTACTCCATTGTATTTGACCTAACAAATGTGGTATTTTATTTTTCAGATCTTAGTCCTGGTCGAGATACACTGAGTTGGGACACACGAATTAAGATAGCTGTTGGTGCAGCACGGGGCCTTGAATACCTCCACTGGAAAGCTAACCCGCCAGTTATCTACCGTGACTTGAAATCAGCAAATATACTGCTGGACGATGAATTCAATCCAAAGCTTTCAGATTTTGGGCTTGCTAAACTTGCACCTGTGGGTGACATAACTCATGTCTCAACAAGAGTGATGGGAACGTATAGGTACTGTGCGCCAGAATAGGCCATGAGCGGCAAGTTGACTCTGAAATCAGATATTTATAGCCTTGGTGTGGTTATGTTGGAGCTGATTACAGGGAAGAAGGCAATTGACTGCTCTAAGAGGCCAGGAGAACAGAACTTAGTATCTTGTGTGAGTTAACTCTTTCTATTTCTCAGTTTTCTTTCATATTCTGGACTATCAGATTTTCAATCTCATTTACCGTTGTTGAATTACTGCTAGCTTCTATTGCAAATAATTTATTTTTATTTTTTTCAAACCTATTGAACACCTTTGTTTTTGTAAATGCAGTCTCGTCCATTTTTGAAGGATCGGAGGAAGTTTGTCCAATTAGTTGATCCTCTGTTGCAAGGACATTTCCCAGTTCGTTGTTTGCATCATGCAGTTGCCATTACTGCCATCTGTCTACTAGAGCAACCAACTTTCCGTCCTCTTATTAGTGTTATTGTTGTAGCACTAGAGTACTTGGCATCCCAGAGCGACAAACCTGACCCTCTTAGAGCTGGGGTCCATATTCCCTTTTTGGCATCACCTTCACAGCAAAACAGGGATATTTTCTCTCAGGATTCTGATTGCAGAATGAGTTCAACTTCTACTTAGAAGTTCTTGGGATCAACTTGCTGAAACAGCCAGATTGATGTAAGGCACAAAATCACTTTTTGGAAGGAATTTGGGTCATATGGTCATGGTTTCCAATAATTTGCGAAACAGTATTTTATTACGCTGTATATATGTTGTCGCTAGGACGGTTTCTTACATTGATTGCATAAATTTTTCTAAAGCATAAAGTTCGTATATGTTTTGATTGCTTAAACATTTAAAAGTAAAATAGAAGTAAAAGGTACTCCTCAAGTTCATCTTTCTGTTTTACACATTGTGGTTGATGATTTACTTGACTTGTCAACTAAAGTTGCGTAAACCATTAGCATAGGTTAGTGAGTAGCATAAATGGATATCCTACTATTGTGTTTGCCCTTTATCTAGCGTTGGTTACTGTAGCTTGTCTGGTCCCCCGTTCGGAGGATATTTCAAGTACTCTAAGTCATTTGAATTCTATTTCTATCACTGGGTTCTATTATGCCATTTTGTCAAAAATAAAAGCATGGAAGTGTCATGTCAACTTTTTATTTTCCACCTTTATAGTCATATTGATCCGATCTTTTTCTTGAATAAATTTCATTACACACTGGTATGCACACACCCACACATTTGTGTCTATGCATGTATATGTGTGAAAAAAGATGTGGAGCTCATAAGGGAGCTTGGCCTTCATATGTTTTATCATGACCTTGGATATTTTATCACTCATAGATATGTGAATGAACTCTGTTCCAAGCAATGGTTAGTGTGTCAGTTGGTTTAGTATATGATTAGGTGTGGCTTTCTCCCACATTTTCTTGGGCTTGATTCTTCAAGATATTCATCCAGCTATTTGCTAGAAGTTCCTGTCTCTAAAGATAGTTGGGTCCCCAGCTTCGTATCCGAGTTTGCAAAGTTTGTTTGGGAATTTCTGGGTATAAAAAAATAAAAAAAGTAGAACGCAATCTTTCGCTTCATACATTATGTGTTTATTTACGAGATGTATACCGTACCTTTAAAACATTGTCTCTGAAGTCCTGATTCTTGAATGAAATGAAAGTAGATTGTTCAATAGTGTTTGCCAATGAATGAATCTGTAAAGTTCATATTCCCCTGGTCATTTAATTGCATTAATTTACTGTTGTCTAACGAATTGTGCTTTTGAATTTCTGAAATGCAAGTTTGATGTTCATGATTCATGCCGATCTGTGATTCAATGTATCAGAAATATTTATCATGACAGTTCATGGTCTTTTCATTTTCCTTGTTTGTTCTTTCCTTGGCCATTTTAGTTCTGTAAATGCTAATGTTTTATAGAGAATGCAATGATCTGTCTGTCATTGTTGATTATTTCTGCATACTCACTGTTGTAACATTTTCCAACTTTGCGCTCGCAGGTGCCTACCCTCGTCGAACACACAAGGAAATCCCAAGGGAAACCCCGAGATACCAATGTAATATACACGCATGAACAATTGGAATAGAAATGTGCACAAATATGTATATATATTTGAGTTTGGACATGTAGCTTTTTGATAAATTAAGAGATTCAGGTTTTTGTATTTTCTTATTAGAGGTCATAAACCATCATCTACTGGTGTGGATTTTTTCAATATAAATGAAAATAGGACTCGAGCTTAACAGAATCAAAGGAGCATCGTGTACGCCTTTTGACTGATACCCTCTTTGGTCCCTCCTAACCCCCGAAAAATAACAATTGAAAAAGTAGTTCTTGCCGCATCGGATTGAGGAGGCTTTGTTGTTCGGCTCCTCATAAATGATGTCATGGACCTGAATCCATTAGTATAGAACATGTTCTTTTCCAAGTGAAATCCCCTAGAATATGAAAGAGTGAAAAAGTGCTCATACATAAGAGCTTATGCCTCAAGGAAGCCGCATATTATACTATATTTTACTAAATAGATATCCGTGTTATGATCCAAGTAAGTCTTGAAAAACAAAAATTATATATATAAGATTTGTCCTTGTTGTATCTAAAAAATCTATTTCTTCTTTTTTTCCATTTTTTTTTTTTAACATAAAGAGATAAAGAAGCCATTGCAATTGCCAGAAATACTAGTAAATCTTTCTTAAATTCAAACAATCTTTTAGTAGGCGTTTTCCTCTTATCCAATCTGGGGATCGAAAATAGATCTCTACCAGACTGCCAGAAATGATTTTATCTCCTTATGCTTGAGGAAAGCCCTTACTAGATAGGGCAATCTGGGGCATCAGTTTACGACATCGGCATAAAAGGGAAACATGAAGGTTTGATGAAGGGTAGTAGGTGTAGGCCTTTCCAGCCATATTCATTAATGCAATGGAACTCCAAAACTTGAAGAAATGGCCTTGGTTGTACCTTAATTACCTTCGTGCCCTCTTATTATGATGCAGTTTAGACCCCACACATGTTTAGGTCTCTATCTACGATCGGATCCTTTCCCCCGTATGATCGTCATCAAATATAAGTTTTTCCTATACTATAGTTGCAAGTCTATTGTTGTGTTTTGGAATTAAGAGAAGCAAAGCTTCAACAAGTAGAAGCTTCCTCGCAAAGCTTCAAACAAAGAGGTTGGACTGTTCATGTGACATCCCACATCGCCAAGGGGAGTGGATCCTTTAAGCCTTATATGTATATTCTCATCTCTACCTAGCACGAGGCCTTTTGGGAGCTCACTGGTTTCAAGTTCCGTAGGAACTCTGAAGTTAAGCGAGTTTGGGAGAGCAATGCCAAAATGGGTGACCCACTGGGAAGTTCTTGTGTGAGTTCCCAGAAAAAAAAAAAGAAAAAAAAAAACCGTGAGGGCATGGTCGGTGCCCAAAGCGGACAACATCATGCCACGGCGGAGGCGAGGCTCAGGATATGGTGGAGCCCGGGGCCGAGATGTGACAATTTGGTATCAAAGCTAATCCTTGCTCGAAAGTGTGCCAATGAGGACGTCGGGCCTCTAAGGGGGGTGGATTGTGACATCCCACATCGTCCAGGGGAGTGGATCCTCTAAGCCTTATATGTATATTCTCATCTCTACCTAGCACGAGGCCTTTTGGGAGCTCATTGGCTTCGGGTTCCGTAGGAACTCCGAAGTTAAGCGAGTTCGCGCGAAAGCAATCCTTGGATGGGTGACCCACTGGGAAGTTCTCGTGTGAGTTCCCAGAAACAAAATCGTGAGGGCGTGGTCGGGGCCCAAAGCGGACAATATTGTGCAACGGCAGAGGTAGGGCTCAGGATGTGGTGGAGCCCAGGGCCGGGATGTGACAGTTCACTTCATTGATTTTACTTAACTTTACTTAAGACTAGAGACAGGGGCCGAGCGAGCAATGAAGGCTCATTTCGTAGACGACAAGCTATGACTTTAATGAGCAGCAAGCACCTACTTCTAACAAAATGAAAAGCAGCAAGCGTAACTTGAAGAAGCGAGGCCCTTTCAGAGATAGCCATTGCGTGCCCTATATAGGGTTCCAAACCTGTGCACCCCTAAACTACAACAAGCTTTGAAGCCCCTACTTATTTTATTTATTTTATTCGATATTTTTAGAAGTCCCTTTCTACAAAACAAACCTTTCTATAATATAAGGGAAGCTCAAATGCTTGAGCGCATTAGAAGTAAGGTTTTCATTTGCATACTTTAAAGAGAAAGGAGAAACTTTAATTTTATTATTGCGGGGGGCTAACAAGCAAGAAAAAGGCCCTTACTATTGATAGGCTAATACCCCTTTACATTATAATAAAAGGCATTTCTTTCTCAAAGTCAAGTTTCTCGCTTGTTGCTTTAGAAAGAAAGATTGCAGGTGAATCTTAGCTCCTTTCTTCAGCTGGCTTCGCCCTATCTATTCATCTCTTTTTTCAAATAGATATTTAGGGATCTCTTGTTCATAGATCTTGAAAACAATCATTTCTCAGTATATCTATCTATCTATCGATAGAAAGATATAGATCTCTTCTATCTGGCTAGCTTACTAGCTGGTAAAGATGCCACAATTGCTTCTTCAGGAAGAGCTGCAAAGGCAAAGAGTGAATCTAAGCCTAGTAGCTTGGGTCGGGAATGTCCCTTAGGAGGAAAAGTTTAGGTTGTTCAAGTTAGTGATGCTATTTCATTGTAATTAGACCTAGCAAGAACGTGATTCGGTGCTATATGGAATATATGACAAACGTGGAGTGTTAGAGTATTTTTATTGGTCAGTCATGTCATACAGGCCCGAATCAGACATCCTTGCTTCGATTTGAACTATTCGGAGAATGCCTTATATATTGTATCAAAAATATATATTATTATATAAAAAAGATGGACAATCAAACTGATTTCTCAATTCAATAGAAGCCCAAAGAGGTGAGGTGAATTGGGTCTCATCCCAAATAACGAGAGATATGTAAAAAGCAGGTCTAATTACTCCTATTCAAAATCCTAAATGGAATAACGATGTAGGGATCCAGATGTAATCATAGTACCTATTTAGATACGCTTGAATGACCCCTTCTCATAATTAGAATGTATATAACCCTATTCCGGTCTGGTTCGGTATGGAATGAACTTATAACCATGGAATCGACACTGCAAGTATGACGCTAGCTAAGCTTGTAATTACAGTAGCTCCTCAATAGTCATTTCGATATAAAAGGAAAAAATAAATAAAGATTCATTATAGCGTTCTACCAAAACGAATGGTTTCATTATCTCAAATGAAGAACATTTCCCACCAAATAATGAGAGATATGTAAAAAGCAGGTCCGATTACGCCTATTCATAATCCTAAATGGAATGTAACGACGTAGGGATCCAGATGTAAACATAGTACCTATTTAGATATGCTCTAATGACCCATTCTCATAATTAGAATGTATATAACCCTATTATGGTCTGGTCCAACATGAAATGAACTTATAACAATGGAATAGATACTACAGGTACGGTGCTAGTTAAGCTTGTAATTACTGTAGCTCCTCAATAATCGATTCGAAATAAAAGGAAAAACAAAATAAAGATTCTTTATAGCATTTTACCAAAACGAATGGTTTCATTATCTAAACTAAAGAACATTTCCCACCTAAGGATCAGTCCAATAATACCACTCACAGGTAAATAGCACAATATTTCTTCGTAAATCTTCGCTATTTGAATATGGAACATCGTAACAACGAATAGGAATGAAATGACTATAGCTCCTATATTAACAATTAGGACACTCATCTCGCCGAGACCTTCTCTTAAGTTCTCAAACCTTCTATCATTCCATCCTGCAAGGGCAAAAAGGGATCGAGGTGGGCTTTACCTTCACTTTTCTCATTGATTTGTTACTAGGTGGACTGACGACAGCAGCACTAGTTACACCTCTCTCTTAACAGCTAGGCCCTGATTCACAGCCCTAAGTGAAGGGACAATAGCGGACTTTGCCCCATGAAGTAGTTACTTTTCTTGCATTCCGAGTCAATTCTTTTCAAAATATAAAGTCTAGCTTATTATCCGAATTTATATTCCTAAATCTGGAAGATATAATATCTATTTGGGATGAGCAGAGCCGATAGGATGAATCAAAAGAGTTCCGAGCTTACCTGATTGATAGGCCTTGAACCAACCCAAATGATTGTTTTAGAATGGCTATTCTTCACAATTGTTCCTTGTGATGCAGTGGCACCATGTCAATTAGGATTTAGGTCGGGTTAGGGATTAATAAATGATTTTTGGGTAAAATACACATAACTACCTCAACTTTGGGTTGAACCACAATTTTATACCTCATGTTTAATACATTGCAATGACATGTCTCAACTTATGAATTCTTTACAATGTCATACCTCTATTAAGCTTTCTGTCAATTTGTCGGTTAAATGATGACGTGGCAGGAGCAGGGCCCACTCTTTCACTATGTCATCATTTAACAGCCAAACTATTAATTTTTAATTATTAATTATTAATTTTTTAATAAATAAATAAATAAATTATTACCTATTAAAGTTGGTCTATTCTCCAGAATATTTCATTCGATGTTGATGTGTTGATAAACCCTATAAATATACAAAATAAAACAGGATTTTTACCAATTTTATGTTTCCAAGAAGAACATAGTTTCCTCATTTCAAATCAAACAAAGTATGATTAGGATCACAATACTAGAATGGTGTGGCATGTTAGTCCTTTTTTTTTTTTTTTTTTTTTTTTTTTTTTTGTCTTTTCTAATAACTAAAATCGATGGACGAGTACAGGTTTTGCAATATTTTAAACTACTATATTCTATATATTATTTAAAATCTTGTGTTAAAATGGCAGATAGATTACTGTAATCAATTAGCTGAAACAATGCTCATATTTTTTATTTTTTGGTATTATAGTTTAGTTTTTCTTTTCTACGAGGGTCCCAGAGTACAAAATAATGGGCTTGAAACAGATAAATTAGTCTGCTATCGTATGAATTTAGGTTGTTGTCCACTAACTTTGGGCAATGCGTTTGGTGTGGGCAAATGTATGTAGACTAACAAACATCATCTTCTTCTTCTTCTTCTTATCCAGTGAAAAAGACTAATTTGGAGTGGTACGTTACGAAGTAGACCAAGTCAAACGTTAAAAGGACATCGTCATGCATGACTACCAATCCACTTATTAAAAGATTTAAGACCCACACTAACAGAAGTTTCTTCACTTTTAAGAATAAT